CACACACACACACACACACACACACACACACACACACAAACTTAAATATTTAAACATTGTTTATAAAAAAAAAAAATAATAAAATATTATATACTATACAATTACTATATATCATACCAGTACATAATTTTAAGCAATTAAGGTTGAATTACCACATTCGTGTTTGTTGAGTTCACAGTTGTTTACCAAAGTAAACAAGCATTTTCAATTAATTATCTGGAGCTGAATGGCAGGCTCATGTGGGGGATTGTGGGACTGACAGTAGAGCAGAACCAGCAGTGAGAGCATCAAAACATTTAGAAATACTCAACTTTATGCAAAACTGCTTAAGTCATCTGGATTCAGTCCTAAGACTTTTTCAGAAATGGGTGCATGCAGTGTGAATTCTGCATCCTGTCAATATGTGTATACAAATATGCACCAATTGCATCAGACCTGAGGTACGTGAAACAGGCCTGATTATCATCTTGTTAGTTTCTGAATATAACAGGAGCTATAATGAAACAACAGTAAATTAGTTGAAGCACCCATAGCGTTATACAGTTAGTGCACAATTGAAGACATAAATGACTCGAGCCAATTAAAAGAATGTGAGGATGGAGAGTATAACGATATCTTCCTTGCGCACATCTCAGGCCCAATCACCCCCCATTACAGAGGGCAGAAACACAAGCCCTCAGGGTGCTGACCTGCGAGAACTACCCATTTAAACAACAACTTTCGCAGTGATTTCATTAATTACATTGGAAAGATCCACTCCCGCGAACCAAAGTGAAAGCCAGCCGTCCATGTAATCTCTTAAGACTTTGAAAATGTGCCGGCGTGGAAGGAAGGCTGATTTGACATTACAGTTGGCATACAGCAGTAGCCTGTTTTACTGATGAGCTCAGGAGACATGAGCACGGCTCTGGGGCACTGCCAGGACTCGGCTGCTTTCAGGACTGTGCCAGCTGACCTAGTGAGGAAAAAACCTAAATTAATGGCCTCCTGAAGGTGTTTTTTTCTCCTGAGTTCTGCAACTTACACTCCATATAGAGAGATTTTCACAGAATGACCACCGTCTGCGTCTCCAAAGGAAAAGAACAAGTACTGCAGAAAAACTGCCATCTAGCCTTGCAACCAGTAACACAGTTCACCTTTTTTTAAAATAGACTGCTAGAAAAAAATAAGTTGAGGGCCAATTCAAAGAACTGCACCTTAATCCAAGGTTCCTGTGCATGGAAGAAGTGCTAAAACAAAAGCAACACGAACTGACATGAATCACACTGCTGTATAATTTAACATGGTTTACAGTGCACCGCTTCAGCAGCAAAGCCAGAAGACATTGCTTGTAAAATTTTAAATAGTGCAAAAAATAAAGTAACACATAAAACAATGTGACAAGACAGTGGACAGAAGACGATCAATCTTTCTTTCTCCTTGTTGGTTTAGACATTTTAAAGTCATTGGGAGGGCTGTAAAAAAATACTGTCTATTTTATAGGCCTTTAAAAAAGATGAACAAAGGCAAATAGTTATTACCATCCTTTTAATAGCAATTCATGATCTTTTCGTTGTAAACAAGGGCCAAGGTTTTATTTTTTATTGATGCACTGTGCTCAGAATCAATAAAACCAGCTTCAGGTTTTCTAGCTAACCAAGTTTTGTCACACACATTTTTTGTATATAAAAAAACTGTTTATCAATTAAATTCTCTGCATGTTAGATACAGAACTATTAATGCATTCCAGTGAAATAGTAGAGAAAAATTCTCTCAAATTAGAAAAAAAAAAAAGATTTTCTCCATATGACCCCCCTTTAATATTTTGTTTTTTTAGGAAACCGCCAGAGCCAAACAGGTCCCATAAATTTCAGCTTGAGAGATTTCCACACACACCAATCACTGACAGCTTAGCGCAGACAAAGATAAGATGGTCAGATGCTTTAATGGCATCATCTCAGGAGAAGCAGAAAAGATGCTATTTGTCAGAAGTTCAGGACAGCGGGGTTTGAGACATATTGCCTGTCTTAATCAAGAATGGGAGAAAGCGCATGAGAAAAACGGCCTCAATTTTGGGACTCTGCCAGTGGAGAGTCAGTTAAAAGCCAGTGGTAATAAATGCTCTCACATTCTGATTACTTTCTTTCCCTGCCTTTCCTCTCTCTGCAGCTCCTCCAGTTGCTCAAGTGCTGGGCAGTGTGCTCAAACAAGCTGCGAGCTCTCAAACCCGGTGTTTTTTAGCACCCTGTTGACAAGCTGGCGGCAACAGGAGCTGTAAATTGTTTGGGTTAGATGGGGCCTCTGAAATTAGAATTTCTTACAGGCTGGCTATAAGGCTTAGCCACAGGTAAAGGACAAAGTGCCTTCAGGAAGCCACATGACCATGGAATTTGATGATGTCCCCATAACAAGGCACAGTAAATTTGTGCTGTTTAAATTACAGTAATTATGAGTTTTTGATTGGGAAAAAAACATTAAAAGTCGCACTTACAAGTTGGAAACTGCATGAAAACTTCTTCAACAATTAAATGTAGTAAGTTACATCTATATATATTTCTCTCTTTTACAGCCTGCTGCACTTTCTTAGTTCTTATTTTAAAAAGCATATAAAGGTGAATTAATGTAGTGATTAAATATTTTGCTGTCATAAACACAACCACATATGGAACCTTTTTGGGTTATGAGGGTTACCATGGAAACAAATAATTTGAGGATGTGCTCAGAGTAGAATCTCAGGTTGTCAGCTCGTAATTGCGCTAATTTTAACACAACATGAATGCAGCATTACTGCAGAGACAATTATGCTGGTGCAACCTAAGGTTAAGCACACAATAGTGATGGATCACAATTCCTTCCCTGCGAAGATCAAACCAATAATTGTCCTTAA